GCTGAAGTTCTTATTGCAACTTTTCCTTTCCCCACGTGCACCTTAAAACCCTTCCAAATTTGTTTCTGTGATGGTAAGTTAACCTTCAAATTCTTGGGGGAAGGGCAGGATGCCCACAGGGTCAATACTGCAAATATACAAACATCTCTTTTATAGTATATTTCTATCAGTTTCTCTCTGCTTTAATTTTTTTATTTATTTTTACATTCAGAGTATAATCATTTAGGGCTACTGACCTGAGAAAGCACCATTCAGAGGTGCCAGGAGAGTGTATTGGCCTTCTGGTCTTAGAGAAGCTCTCAGTCCTAGCTGTGCCACCAGCTCTGTAAAAGTAGTCTGCTGGGCACCCCCAAGTTCAAAGACTTGTTTGGCTGTGATTAAAGGAATAAGAAAAGGTATTTTAACACAATGTATCTTCTTTTTTGAATTATTTTTATTTTCCATGCTTATCCTTAATAATATATCTGAAGGAATCTAGGTAATACTGAGGAAACATCTTCAGTGTAAGAGGTTTTTCCCACACGCCACTGACCAGAATCAGGAATTAGCACTTCATCAATGAGGTGGATGACACCATTGGTGGTCACAATATCTTTGCGTTTCACCATCTTCCCTCCATTCACAGTCAGACTTTCACCATCACAACCAACTTCAACTGTGTTTCCTTCCAAGGTTTCATAGACAGCTCCACCTGTGATGGCTTCAGAGCACTGGAGAGTATTTAAAATATGAAACTTCACAAGAGCTGAGGAGAAAAGAGCAGGAAATTCATATACAGGAATTTGGACACATATTTGCAAATACATACACATATTTTGCATATAGATGTGGGATAAATTATTAACCCTACTTTGTTTTTAATAGATTACTAGGTTATGTAGCATATTTGCTTATTTGCATTCACAGATTCCTTATTGAAAGCTATTTATATAAGAATTGATACTGTAGGCTTCTAAAGAACATCTAAGGTCAAAAAACTTTGGCATCCCTTATATTGCTGTCCTGGTTTAGCTAGGATAGGGTTAATTTTCTGCAAAAGTTGGGGAGGAGGCACAGCCAGGATAGACAATTGAACCAGCCAATAGATCATTCAATACTCTACTGACATCTTGCCCACTAAATAAGGTGCATTTTTCACTGGGCAGTCTGGGGTGGTGACACCATTTCTGCTCAAAGCTAATGCAGCCTGTTTTATATCACTTGTTTTATATAATGTTTAATTACTGTTACTGTTATTACCTTTATTTGTTGCTCCTTTTGCATTGTTATATTAAATTCTTTTTATCTGAACCAGTGGGGTTTTATTTTTTTTTTCTCCTTCCCATATTTCCCTGGCTGTTTCTAAACCATGACAATTATAACACTGTGACTGAAAATTATATTATCCAGTTGGATCTCTCAGTACAAAGCTCTATAGACTATGCAAGACAGCCCCAGATTTATATTTTGATATGTCCTACTATGTAAGCAACATTCAGTGTACTATCTCTATGGGTACCAAAAGAATCAGCCAAAAATTCATGAAATCAAACTGAAAACAAAACAAAAAAAAAGGCACAACAAAAATTCTGTGTTATTTCAGAATTCCATTTTTAGTCATTGTGGCATGTTAAAACTAGTCCAGGTGCTTCTTTTCACCTTATTCATTGAGATACTGCACAATGACTTAATCAGGGTATAATGAAAGGATGGAGAACTTCTTTAGTGCAGTGGAACTCATAAATAAGAACAGAAATGTAGCCTTCCACTCTTTAGTGGTCTATTACATCAATGTTATGTTCACATAACAGACTGATTCAGTTGCTGTTTAGTTTTATTGTCATTCTCAGCAGAGTAAGTGCTGACTGTTACAGTTTGTCAGAATATATAGTATAAATTCAGTTCAACTTGCAGGGCAGAATTTCTCTTTTATAAGAGCATGTCCTTTTTGTATAAAAAATCTGCACATGAGAAAGCTATGAGAGAATCAAACATTCAGACAGCCCTGCATTTCTGGAGGGAGGAATCTGCATTGGAACTATGCAGCTGAACTATTAGAAACATTTTCCTTTGAACTGTTTTGTAAATTAAGTTTTCAGTGAATCTGAATCCTTAGGTAGTGGGGAAAATAGAAGACAGAAGATACAACTCCACCTGTATGTATGAAAGGACAAGTGCTTAATTTCAGAGCTACTCAGATAATGTTTTGACCTCCTGATCTCCTCATCTGTATTTCTCATTCACACAAAAAAGCTTACATACCTTCAGAAGCCACCTTGTCACCCATGATCCTTTCTAAGACTCCCCTTGGAAGCCTCTCAAAAGCTTCATTAGTAGGAGCAAAGACTGTGTAATGACCAGGCTTTCCAAGAACATCCAAGACCTCTGATGTGATGGCAGCAGCCTAGAAATAAATTTGGGTTTTAATGTTGGTTATTTAAAATATTTCCAAAGCACATTATGTGTCCAGTTTAACCTACTGCCTGCAGGTACTTTAATATTAGACTAAGATAGGTGTTACAGAAAGATCCAAAAATGAATTGACATAAAGGAGTAGAAAATTAATTTTGTTGGAAAAATGTCTTGATATACTGAGTTACCTCCTCAGTTTAGCACAGAGTAATCAAAGAATTTTGATAGAGGTGACAAGAGGGCAGAAATTTTTATTATAATGGCCTGAATTTTTAAATTAAAAATGTGAACATACAGATTTTGACAAAATAGATCAAAGCAATAGTCTATCAAAGCTAATTATTTGCCCCTAAAATAATAAAAAATGTATTACAAGTATGTGACTAATTTGCTTAAATACAAGAAGGAGGTTTTGAATCACAACAAGGGGCTGAGAGGTGACCTCATTACTCTCTACAGCTTCCTAGGGAGGGAAAGGGGAGAGAGAGGTGATGATTTCTTCTCCCTGGTATCCAGGGACAGGACATGACAGCTTTTCAAACCTGTGTCAGGGAAGGTTCAGACCTGACAGGAAAAGGTCATTTCTTTGGTGGCTCTAGTGTGTCCTCATTAGAATCAAAGACTGAAGAAAAAGAACAATGCAGGAAAAATAAACAAAGATACTATGATAACGTATGATGGATCAAAAAGGTAATATGCTAGAGCATGACAATATAAATTATGAACAGATTTTCTAGAAAAAGAACATGTAAAATTGAACACATCTGGACTTGAGTAAAGAATTTGCTTAGTTTACTATGCTTGGTTTTGTCCCAAACTATACAAAAAAGCATGTGGACAGGCTGGAGAGGGTCCAAAGAAGGGCCACGAAGATGATTAAAGGGCTGAGAAGGTCCCATATAAGGAAAGGCTGAGAGAATTGGGTTTGTTCAGTCTTGAGAAAAGAAATTTTAGGAGAGACATTATCACCATGTTTCAGTGTAAAAGGGTGGCTACAAAGAAGATGCAGACTCCCTTTTTACAAGGAGTCACATAGAAAAGATGAAGGCTAATGGAGAGATTCTGATTAGACACAAGAGGAAAATTTTTCACAAGGACAATCAGCCACTGGAATAATCTCCCAAGGGAAGTGGTGGGTTCCTCAACACTGGACACTTGGTTCACCTGGACAGTGTGCTGACCCTTCTTATCTAGACAGTGCTTTTCCCAAGAAAGGGTGGACCAAATAATCCTTGAGGTCCCTTTCAGTCTGGTATTCTATGATTCTATGATGAAATATGAAATATTATTAGCTCAAATGAAGACAGAAAGATTAAGTGCATATGAAACTAGTGAACTGAAAGATGGGGATAACCATCCTAAAATAAATGTCATATGAGTCTCAGGGCCGATTTAGTTTATTGGTTTTAGTATCACGTTGGCTTTTGGTGTCAAAGTCATTAAAGCAGTATGAAATGCAGAGGTGAACACACAGGAATTAGCAGATGCATGGAGCTTCACCCTCTGAAAAGTCAGAAAGGTAGGATGCAATGTGATGCAACTGAAAGAAAAGCAAGTGTGATGCTAGGCATGTATCCTGGAAACCAGTAAGTTTTTTTCAAACTGAGTTAGGGAGGTTTGTAAATTAATAGATAGGAGCTTATCTAGGATTAGGTGAAAATGTCTGCTTAGAGTCCACAACAGTTAAACTCAAGTAGAAGAGATGCAAGAAAGAATACACAGGAACTAATGAAACAGAGAGAGTTTCTTTTTCAACTGGAGATTAGAAAGGGTTAGCTTTTTAATAATTTGATATTAATATAATTAATGGATTTTATATTAAAATTTTTAAAAGGATGATGTGGTTGCCTATAGATGCCATGGACTGGATTTGAGGTATTCAGAGGGCCTTTTCTACCTTTATGCTTCTGCACTTAAAACATTTTGTTGCATTTATTGAGGAGATAGAGGAAGGAAAAGGACAACATCTATTTGCAAAACTGTGGCATGTTTTTAAACATGTGCAGTACAAAATTCCATTACAATAGGTTGAAATATCTTCTAAAAGAAGAAGAAATTAACAACTCGGACAGAAAAAAAAAAACCTGCTGCTTCTCAGCAAGAAAAAAACCTTCCTACATGTATCTACTGGTGTTCTGAAATTTGCTATGAGTTCAGTTCTGAAATTTATTTGGTTTTTTTACCTTTTTCTATCACCAGTTTTGGAATCATTCTCATTTACCCAGCACCAGACACTCTAACTTATGTTCACATCTTTCATTACCTCAGTGCTTGAAAAGAAGACACGTTTTTTTATGTACTGAGACATATCCTGTCCTACTGATAAGCTTTTATTTGGTCCATGAAAGAGAAGAAGCAGATTCCTTATATAAAAATTGCTTTGCCTATTTATATAGCTATATTTACAATATTAGCTGTTCTTAATGCATTTCTCTCTCCTACTGAACTAACCCTCTTTACTTCCAGGTATCACACACAAATAAAAAAGAAGAAAGAACTAAAAAAACAAAAAACAGAGAAACTTTTATTTTTGCCCACTTACTCTAAAAGATGAAAGATCATCCTCAACTTCAATGAAATCTTGAATGGTATTTCCAATAGCAGTCAGGACACGATCAACAACATGAACAACACCATTGGTAGCAATCTGGTTGCCATGGATGACCCTGGCACAGTTAACAGTAACAACCTGTATTTGAAGAACCAAGCAGTAAAAGATTAAGCATTAATTTGATCATATAATTGCAATCTGATTCTCAAAGATTGGCAATGTGCATACTGTACACTGTGTATTCACTGTTCTTTTATTTTGAAATGTAAGTACAACTTTGTAAGATTTGGAAAGCAGATTAAGCTTCTGGAAAGCTAGCAGCACATTTGTTCCCACTACATTGATTTCATATTCCTGTTATATTTCCTATTACAATTATTCAGATTTGTTTTCCATATCTTATTAATCTTGGTGGTTGTATTGGGTTTTTACAGATGTAAATTGTAGCCCAGCATAAACATTTTGTCAAATGTAAGGCAAGAAAAATAAATGACTTGACTGGGAGATTTCTAGCACTTATCAACATCTTTTTTTTTCAGCCAAATAATTGAGGTGTCCCCTTTGCAATCTTAAATGTTTCTACCATTCATCCTAATTCAAATAATATGATTTATTCTGATTTTGTAAAGAGATGAAGATTAATAGTAGGTTTTGATCATGGTTTTATTATGATTGTATGTTTTGACTGCAAAAGGCTTTGTCTCTTAGGAAGAAGTTCATTCTTGTTTGAACTTTGGTTTCTAAACAGCAAACAGCACATTTGCTAATTCTTTCTTAGTGATTAGTCTACACAGCAGACAAAGTTTCTTTAGCAGACAAAACTTGAAGAGAAAATTTATTTATTTTTGTCAGTGGCAGCAACTTGCTAGATGTTAAACTTCCTATAACATATTTACTTAGCTGTAGCTTGAAATAAAGGAAAGGGTAATGGATATAACTATACTAATTTTATTAGGGAAATAAAAGAGAATAGACTTACCCCATTAGGATAATGGTTAATGAGCAATTTCTGGTCATTATACATAGACACCAGAGTCATGCCATTCTTAAGATCTTTTGTCAACATGCGCTTGTTTACCATGTGGTGGTGGAGAGCATTATACAGTTCAATGTTTACATTGTCTACCAAATTTCTGTGAATTTCCTGACCAAAAAAAAAACAAAAAACAAAATTAATTAGAAGCTTAAAAATATTCTTCCAGTTGGAAAGGTGTACATATTGCTTTACCTTAATATGTGGTTTCAATATATTGAATAATGGATATATCCTGTTCGGAGACATGACTTTGACACCTGTCAGTCTGGCTGTACTTCAATGACACTTTAGTCTGATTTGCTCACAAATGGAAGACCAGAGGTCTCATCACAGACAAATAATTGGAGGAGCTTTGATTCAATATTTACTTAACTAAAAACATTAGTAAAAGAAGGATACCAGAACCACTTCCAAAGTACAGTTACACTCTGGATCATGCAGTAGCTGGAATTCTTGTCAATTTCCCCAAAATTAGGCTAATAACACCAGCAATATTAATATTTGTCTTGCAAGTAGTTAAAAAAAAACCACAGCTGCTTAGTGCTCTTGAAAATAAATTCAGACTCTCTAGTTTTAGCAATGCATGAGAAACATGCAAATTATTTTATTATAACATTTGTAACATCCTTTAATATCCAAAATATCAATATTGTTTCCAGTCTATCTTGTCATAGACTGGCTGTTGCAGCTAAACCAATATTAGCTGAAAGAGAAACACACTTGTACATTACACACACTTACTGCATTTAATTGCTCCCAGGCTTCATTGCTTGGTGCAAAGAAAGTGAATGATCCTCGTCCCTCAATCTCTTCTCTCAGCTTTGATATGTCAGAATACTGCTGCGTGGAGGTAGCTCCCACAATTCCAAGTGTACCATATACATGATCAATAGGAGCAACTGAAATAAATATGAGACAAGAATAGTGTAAACTCTTCCACCATCTAGTTTCTCACAATCAAATCTACGTGGTTCTGTTTGGTTGGGCAATAATATTGCCCTTCTGAAACTGTTTAAATATTAAAACAATGTGCTGGGATTCAAATTCCATTGTCAACATACTAAAAAAAAAAAACATGCAAACACAACTGGTTGTTATTTATTTTTTTTTTGCTTTTCTCAATGAAGAATTAGAGCAAACAAAACTGGATATTGTAAAGTTTTCTTTAGAAGAGTTGTATTGGTTTGTGACAACCCAGCCTGGAATGGGAGGCTATCCATTAAGGACAGGAGTAAATTCCATCTATAATCACTAAACTTCCAATGGAGTGAATCTTATTTGGTCATCATGGACAAGAATTCTTCTGTGAGGCCTCTTGCTATTCCTCCAGTGTGTCATTTGTGCATATATTGATTAATTCAGAGAGTAACGATGGCCATAGTCTCACAGTTAAAACACTGCTACTTGAGAACAGGATTAATCTCTCCTAATTTGAGGCATCTAGAAGTGAGGGATCTGCATGTGAGATAGTTGCTGTTGGCTCTGATTATGGTCGTGGAGAGGACCTGTCATTTCTAGAGTGTGAGTGACCTCACCTTAATGTAAACATCTCAAGTGATGTTAATTCATCTAAATAAACTGAACTCTGATTTAGATATACCTAAGTTTGTTATTGAATGTAGAAGAATTAGTTCAAGTATAGTGATCTAAAGTTATGAAAATATTTCTTCCCAGAATACTCTTCCCTATTGCATTTGATTTCATTTATGCAAAACAGAACAGCACAAATAGGAGAAATCAAGAATTCCTGTCTTCATTTTGACTCCTTAGTTTATTTAAAGCCCATAACTATCTTTTAACAAGTAAGATTCAAATCCTCAGGATAAGAAATAAACGGAATTTAGATATGCCACACTTCCTGTCCTCAGTTTCTGACCTCACCAGTATGCTTGAGGTTGTTCTGGGACGTGATATTAATAGAAACAAAAGTTCTTCTTTGGCATCTTTGGGAACTGTATCGTTCCTCTCGATCCAGTAACTAAAAGAAGCTGGGAAATTCAACTTCAACTACATGATCAAATTCAATACTAGCTCATTCTTAACCGTGTTGACGATATGCAAATGAAGCTGTGTATGCTCAGGCAGTAATTCTTAAAAAGAGGCAATCATTTCTCCAGATGACCACCTTTGAAAGTCTCTTGTGTTGTAATGCTTCTCATATACTGGCTTATCCCAATAAGAATAAGCTTGTACCTGCAGGACATCCTCTCATACCATCCATCTTCATATAGCCAGGACAGCACTCATATAAGACAGTTCTGTGGGATATAGACAAAAGCACAATTAAATAATACACAGGACAAGTGTATGTTAATTTTAGCTGAGTCTAATTTTTAATTTCGTAATCCTTCATCGCTACATATACGTTCTCCAGATATTTGTCCCTTTTTTGTCATTCAAATTCCTCTATATAGACTATAAATTGGTTGCATTTTACTAAATGCAAGGCTTTTAAATCTACAAAATGACTGCCATCATCAAATTGAAGTGCTAAGAAGGATCATAAAAGGCACTGTGGAACTCATGTAGAGTTATTAAAAGATGATGTGACTAGAACAGCAGCTGAAGAAAATTAATTTACCTGGTCTATTTTAAAAGGAATTAAGGGGGCTGATGAAAAGGAAAAATAAAGAAAGTGAAGACATTGGGAGAAACTGGTTGTAGCAGGGTTGGAAAGGAAACAGAAAAAGGACTGAACAGAAATTTAAAATGACAAAACTACCTGAGATTACTTACATACTGGATATAGGAACTAAACAGGTATTTAGGAGAAGGTCCTGTGGATTGTATGGTCAGAGAAAGTGGGATAGCAGAGCCTCAGTATTTCAAGGAAGACTTCGAAGAAGCTCAGGGAGAAAAATCATTAAGTACAGACATGAAGCAGGTTATAGAGAGGGAAGTCACTAAAGATTGAATGCAGCAAGGATAAAAACCAGACTAAAAGAAATCAAAAAGTTAAAAAATTATGTCATCAATGAATACACAGAATTTTGCAATACAAGGACCAGGAACAGGATGTTGTAAACATCATTCTGTTACATGATGATGTAAACAGAATATTCTCATTCTTGAACGCACGTAATCTAAACATAAGACTAAACCAGGGCTAACTGATAATTCTGTACACTGTAATGTTCACTTTGGCATTTACAGTCTTGTATAAAATATGTCTTCTTAATTAATATGTCAGAAATAGAAGCTCTATCATAGACCTGCTTGATTTTTCATCTCTTACATGAAACTACAAATTCACTGAAGTTATCCCAGAGCTGATTTAGGTCCTCGGAAGAGGGAATGTCAATAAATTGCACAAACTTACCAAACCCTAAATTATAAACTTTAAGACTTTAGACTTCAGATATTATTATGGTACACTGTGAATGACAATGATAAATTGTGATCATGGTTTTACTGAATAGATTTATTTCATAGGTGTGAATGATGTTGGCAGTGCTAGAGCTCTGAGCACTAATTCCTTGAAGGTTTTGCTGAGTCTTTACCACCACATTCCAGCCTTTAAATTGCATACTCTTTGGTGGCTGCTGAGCACACTTCTCTCATTTTTTTCATAAACCAAAGCTGGCAAAACATTAACTACAAACATGAAAATACAATGAAAGTAGTCTGGAAGCACAACAGCATTACAAGCATGAGTTTAAAAGTGAGGCTTGTAATTCCATAACTGACAGTAACCTTACAGAGATGGTGAAGATGAAAGATTAAAAGAAAAAAAAAACAAAACCACACATAGTCTTTCATTTCTCTGTGCTATGAAAATGTTTTGTCTCCATTCCCTCCCATGTGTAGACACACTTGATATATTCTCCCTTCTGCCATGTGCATCTTTTCAACTGCAAAGTCATATATTGAAAGTATTTCCAGATCTTTTTAATACATCTCTTTCTTTAAAACAATTCACTGAATTGCTATTTCTTAGGAATGCAAGAACAGGATACAGTTTAGGCTACAGATTTTCTTACTAATAAGGAAATTAACCTTATACTCTTCTCCCTGCTGTATCCCTGCCAGAAGCTAATTAAAAAAAAAAAAAAAAATCTTATTAAAGAAAACTATGTAGCAGAATAGGAATCAGAAAGTTTTTCCCAACTGTCTGAACTACTTTCTCATCAGAAAATATTTTTTCTTCCATGGAATAGAAAATATTTCCCCCTCACACCATGAGAAGCCACGAAAGATTGGAGTCTTTAATTAGCTTTTGGAAAAAGGAAAGAGGAAGCTGAGTTATAGGCATAGAATAAAATATGGCAAGTTTAGTCTTCTTGCCATATCCAACAATGACACAATTAATGAAAGGCAAAAAAACTGACTGAAGAACATAGATAAGACAGAAAACCCTTCTTCAGCCAAGCATTACAAGATCAGTCAAAGGTTACTGTAAGTTCCTACTTACATTATTCACATTCCCTTACAGATGACTGCAACTGTCCATGCATCAGCTGTGCTCAAAGTGTAGTGAGAAAGATGGAATGGGAGAAAAGGGGTCTCCACAGAGGATCCCATGATTGGGTTAGAACCAGGTAAAACTCAGTGCAAGATGCAGCTCCTTGGCACCACTTGTGCACAGACACAGTACACAGGGGAAATACCAGCTCACACCATAAGTTATCCTCATCTGTGTCTACCTACGAGTTCAATATATGGTGCCTATGCAAAGAAAGCAGTTAATAATAAAATAAAATAATAAAAATAAAGCAATGTTGCATTCTTGAGGTTGTTTGGTTTTTTTTTAGGGGGGGATGGTGTTAGGTTTTTGGGGTATGGTTTTTTATTGCTTATTTGGTTGTTGGAGGCTTTATTTTTTTTAGCATAAAGTTGTTCTGACCTCATCTAAAGGAGTATAATCCAAAGGAAAAAAAGGGTAGAGCAGCACTACCTTATGTCTTTGTTATTCTTGGCTAACAAAGCCAGTGTTCAGTTTATGCAGATCAGCTCTATGACTCATCTTTTTGTACTCCTTGCTGGCATGGAGATAAAATACTGCAGAGAAACAGTGGAAAGACTTCTGGTCTAATAGGCTTTGATTTTAGCAAATCTGTAAGGAGCATCCCAATTGGAAATTTAAAGCAGTGGAAAGGGAGTGTAAATTAAAAAAGCATTCTTGAATTAGTACTTAATAGATCGTATATGCAAGTTAGGGAAGATTTGTTAACATGGAGATATTAACATGAGAAAAGTCTTTATCCTTTTGATTAATAACCTTATTAGAGTAACTTCTTTAGTTATGTCTATACTTCTGTTTTGAGCACACAGAGTAAAACATTTGCATTAACAGCTAAGACTAAGTTATTATAGATGCTCTATTACAGCATACAAAAAAAAACCCCTCAGGAGTTCTACGACTTACTCTCATGCACACTAGTTTCCCCTTATAGCTTTACTCTGTGAGTGCTTATAGAATTGTAGAGTGTTAAAAGGGAAGGGAGAAGGTAGTTTTGTGCATACTCTCATACCCAAATACACCCAGCTCCACTGCTCAATGTCTTCCTCTGGTTGGCTCCTTGCTTAGGGCCTTACACAGGCTCTGTAAAATGTTTCACAGCTTACATGCCTCTAAATTCTAGCCAGTGAAGAGAACAAAGTCACCACGTGACTTTAGTTTAATGAGTCCAAACTGCCTATCCTTTCAAAGTGTTTTTCCTAACACATGAAGGTATCTACCATTGCATAACTTGCTTGGCTTCTGGAGCTCAGCTAAGTAATGAATTCCCTGTCAGATTTGTGCTGAGAGTAGATTTTCTCTTATAGGAGGACATGACATCTATCTAGGAATAAAACCACAGGAGTAGGTCGCTTTCCAAAACTGAGGTTGAGAATATCCAAGGCTTAGTCTAAGTAATTTTCAGGAAATACCCTTCTTCCCAATGTGTCTGCAGTGGAATAAAATGTAGTGCCAAAGAAGTCAGGGGTATGGCAGACTTTACTCAAAAGGTGAAGTATTTTGGATGACTTGTAGCACGCCCACTGAAGGAAAAGTGAAGTCAGTATTATAATGCCATCTGGAGGAGAAGGAAATATTCTTATAAAACCCATAAACCTACGTGTCCTGAAAAAATTGAAGGTAGAAGTGGGGCAAATGACCACACACAGTCAAGCTGGATTTGAAATCAATCATTATTACCATCATCAAATGTTTATAAATCTGCAATTTATATGAAAAAATTGTTCTAACTTGTCTGGATTTGCTCATTTAAAAAAAAAAAATATTAAAAATAAATAAAAAAAAAAAAGGGAGAGACTAGTCAGGATTCCAGACAGTCAATTGAATTCCAAAGAAACTTCTGAGGACTTAGAATAACCACATTGCTTGTCTGGGTAGGATGTTCATTGTGTTTTGTACTATAGCCCCTCTAACTTACTGCTGTTACTTCCTTCCACCTCCTTAAGTAAGTAATTATTAACCAATAAAGATTACAATAACAGTAAGCTTAGGGTCACAGCTTGGCCCATAAAAATCAGGTCTTTTCATTAGCTCTGGTGGGGCCACGGTATCATTCTTCATGTCTAGACTGACTTTAGAGTTGAGACTTCAAAGTCATGGCACTACTTGAAAGGCAAGGCTGTGTGTTGGAATCAGTGTCGGTGTATCGGAAGTACAACTCAGCTCCATTAATTTATGGTATGCTGTCAGAGCACTGAAAACATTTCCTCAGAAAGAAAATGGGAGAAAACTTCCTCCTACTACACCTTCCCTCAGTCTTTTTCCTGTGGATACTTTCCAACACTATGTTATGACATGCACTGTCTTTTGGGAATGGAAAAAAAAAAAACACAAAGGCTCTGACACCCAACAGGAATAGTAGAAACCACAACACAGGCCCATTTCAGGTCCTTGCCTGACTACTATCTGATCTATATGCTTGATTTGAACAGTGAAAAAAATCATTACTGGAGACATTCATCTCAAATAATCATTTGGAAGTCTTAATCAGTTTTATATTGGTAAGTATAGGGATCATCCTCAAGATAGAACAATAAATGTGTTTGTCAGCCAGGACAAACCAGTCAAAAAAATGAAAAAAAAACCCCAAAACTCTAAAGCTGGTTTTGGGAAAAAAAATAGGAAAAGGATACATTTTTAACTATGAATGTGCCATATTTGAGGATGCACTGCAGAGAGCATGGGAGAGTGCAGCCAGAGCTCTCCTAGTGATGCATGCATACTCTGCACCATTTTTTGTGTCCCCTTACTCCCCACACAAGCCCAGATCATGTCTGCATCTAACTCTTTGTCAACACAGAATTCTTTGATTTTCTGTAAAGAACCATTAAATGCATTTCATACAAGTTTACAAAGTCCCATAGTTGCAGTTTTTGAAAGTCTAAAAGTATTCTCTTTGTAAAAGTTTATTTGTATTCCTGTGAGCTAACTGTTCAAAGTCAAATCTGTCCTTTTTCCCTTCCCCAGAATTCATCATTGTTTCTATGTTTAGAAGCCCATATTAAAATTTGAAGACTGGAAAATGTGGGTTCTATTTACTCATGACTTTAATAATCAGGAGATTAAAAATATGACCAATTGCAAATTATTAGTCACTTCTCATTTAAGTTTTTTTTATTATTTTAGTGAATTATGAATGATTAGAAAAACATTTTCAGGAGAATTTAAGAGCTCATTTACAAAAGGAGCCATCTTCTACTGGCTTGTGATTCTAACACTGCATATTTTCTTCCATATTATTATGGTCTGTTAAGGAAGCCTTTGGCACAAAAAACCCAGGCCAAAATACCCCTCTATTTCACATCACCTTACAATCTAAAATAGTGGTTAATGTTCAATAGGAAAGTTTTAAATACAAATCTACAGAAGGAATGAAGTTCCCCATATGTATAATTTACACCATCTATCAATATACCTTAACATCTTTATGTTTTAGGGCACATAATCTCTCAGTGACTGTTCAGCTGTGTACTTAACTACTGCTTGAGCATTTGGAAGAATTTTATAGGCTTTCACTAAGAGACTCCTAAGACCCTAAGACAGAGCTGCAGCTGAAGCCTGGACTCCCTGCTCACTCAAGTCTTTCTGAAAACATCACCCCAGACCTACTTGGACCCTGTAAGAGAATAGTGGGAAAATAAAAATAATGATTTCTATGACAACTGCTGAGAAATGTGTCCAAGCAACTGCACAACAGCAAGAGACAGTGGGAAACATGAGATACATGTGATACATGGGAATAGAATAAATTTATAATATTGGGTAAACAATATCAGTCCCTGTTAAATTACTTAATTCAAAGTGAGACAAGAGGGGCAGACCATTTCAGGACTGGGAATTTTGTATATGTTCACACTCTGGAACTACAATTTGGCTGACAAAGCAGCAGTGACTGACAGTTAGTTACAGAGAAGGCAACGATTTGTGTTCTGAGAAGAGAATTGAAATATGCACACAAATTTCAAAAGAATGCCAAACTCACCCAGGTTTAATTTGTATCCACAACCATATTTTGAATGCTTTATTTATTTCTTTGTGGGAAGCTGTGGTCACAGCTCTGCTGGGTAGTGCTGAGTTCTTGTCACAACTGGCCCATTAAGTCCCCCTATATTTCTGGGTAGGTCACAGCCTCATATCTCTTTGTGTTTAAAATAGAGCTATGAATACTTAACTCAGAGAAGTATTGCTGAAACTAATACTCTGAAGTCTCAACCATTAAACATTCTACATACTATGCTGTCGTTTTCAGACTTTCCACTCCTTTTGTGATTATTTTTGGCAAGAATTATTGGATCAGTTATCCAGGTGGTTTCAGAAGCAGCTAAAGGGAAGCTGTAACCCTGTAAAACTATGAACTGAATTCTTCCTGTGTCTGCATTTGAAACAAACAATTTGTCTTTGAAAACAGGAGAGTTTTCTAATCTTACAGTATATCTTCTCAATGAAAGGGAATAGTTTTGAAACAGAGAATACTCACGCTTTCTTTCCACAGATGGCTCCCTGGTACCAGTTTCTGCAGGTGCTGAAGTATTTCTTTTTTGTTCCCATAACTTGCTGAAGGGCACAGACATTTGGGCTAATGGGTAGGAGTGAAAAACATTTTAAAAAAGAAGTCTCTGTACATCTTTGGAAAAGTTTTATATAAAATGGTGTCAAATACTGTTTCTGTTGGGCAAGAGTAAGAAATGAACATCTGGCTTCAGTTCCCAAGGCAGGTGTGTTTTCAAGCAACCACAGCACAAGCTCCCAGGGCTGCCCAGCTGCATTCCTTGACCAGACCACCCTCCCAGCAGGGGCAGAAGTTTCCCCTCCGTTCTGGTTTGACCCTCTGTCTGTGATGGGCAGTGGTCACCAGCTGTGCCTAGTCAAGTCTCAATAGCCCTCATATTTCTCCCTTCTGCCTTAAAGGGAATTAATTTCCAACCAGCAAGGACTGAGCTATGAATACTGTCAGGCTCTTTTCATTAAAGTTTTTGTCTCCTACACATCTGTGCAGCTGAAGGTCATGGGGAGATGGGAAAGAAAAGTGCCTTGTTCTTTGTGTAGAAGGAAACCCTGCCTTCTGTAAATCAATCAGCTATTTTGATTAACAACTGTCTGGAGTACCACAGGCACCTAAGAAAACATTCTGGGAATTACTGGTGACCAAAGGGTAAATTGGCATGTAAATAAAAGAAGTCACAAGTTTCAAGAGAGGAATACTTGTTCCTTAGCATGGTAGTGTATAGAAGAGGAATTTCTTAAGGGCAAAATTCCATGGAGCAAAGGCATTTTGTCAATATTTTTTGTGCTTCTACAATTAAAAAAACCCATCAGTTCAAAAGTAAGAACATATATTTTACATCAGTGGGAAGCCAGTGAACATTTTTATTTGAAAAGGTCTCTGTGTGTGTGTGTGTAGCAGGCAGAGGGAATTCAACAAAGGAAGAGAGGATGGTAAAAAATCCTTATTCACAGAGCATTCTTTACTTAAGAAGGCTGAAGGAAAATGTGTTCATACACATGTCTCTCTGACAGCAGCTGCCCAAATTATTTTGATGTCTCTAAGCAGCCTGGCTTGTAAGCATTGTCTTCTGGGTACCCTGCTGAGCAGCTTGCTGCATTGCTCTAGTGGGAACAGAAGTTCACAGAGGGCTCCCAGTACATAGGTCTATGTTAGAAAGCATTTACAGTTCATGATTTTCATTAAGATGGAATTAAAAGAGCAAATACTGTAGGATAGGCATCAACTCTATTCAAACATTTAAAAACATATATTAAACATATTTGATGTCCCATCGCATTAATTTTGAACTGTAATTAACTTTAGTGGTTCTAAACCACACGTATTTTAGTAATTGAGAAGTGATGATTTTGCAGTTTTTCACATTTTATGAAGTTTAACAATATTCTTTCTCCTTTTGAAGTTGCCCAGAAAGCTCTTTATTTAGGAACAATTCTTGTAAAATTAATTGAGAAAGAAAATTCTCCTTGAATAATAGTAAGAATGCATAGTGAATAATCACATTTACTATAATGGAAGAAGAAAGAGCAGAATAAAGATTAACAAGCTCCCTTTTAAAAGAGAAATAAAACACAGTTACTTACCCTTGGTCGCGTGCCCTTATTCGACTGTGAGTTAAAATCTTGTCATAGTGAGCAAAAGCAGCTGCTTGTTCAAAAGCAGAGAAGAAAAAAATTGAAAAGGTGAATAAGATCTTCATCTTTACTGCTCTGTTGCTTCTGGCAAGTCTAAAAGAGAGAACTGGCAAAGAGTCTGGAGGGCTGACAATTTATATACATGCTGGAAGTTGGTGGGAGGGAACCACAGGATCAACCTGAAACTTGGTTCCACCCTCCTTAGAACAGCAGCTTTCACTGCCAGCTCCAGTAACCTAAATTAATACCATACATTAAACATATAAACAATTTTTTTATCCCCGATTGACTAATTTCTTCCTTATTACAGAAGGCTTAGCATTTTATTCTGCTGACACAACAGCAGAGAAAGTTTGAGAAGTTTAGACTTTGACTTATGAGTTGATATTTATAGCACTGGAGCATCCAGAGGTCATGATCATTGTGTATGGTTTTGTTCAAACCCAGAGGAAGATGTTGTCTGTTCCCATAAGAACTGCACTGCTTTCCTTTGTTTTACATGTCCTCAAAGTTATCAGCTATGAGCTCTTTAACCAGCAGATGAAAGCTCCAAACAATACTGTTGTCAATAACCTGGAATTGCCTATTTGGAGGAAAAAAAAGCTGATTTAGCATACATTCTGATTATGAAACACACAATCAAATACAGTATTATCTCCAATATTCATTCAGATTCTAACAGTTGCTATTACATAGTGCTTTTATTCAGAGCTTTATGTGCTAACATAAAAATCACTGAATATCTGAAAAGGAGAACCTATATTTTTCTATAAGTCAGTTGACTTATGAGTCAGTCCTTGGGAGCCTCTTCTAAAGTAA